ACAGACCTGCGGGACCCTCCCCGCGGGCCAGATGCTGCCCCGGGGCCCAGTCCCGGAGCCGGCGGGAAGCGGCGGGAAGCGGCGCAGGGAGGCGGCGCCGGGGCGCGGGAGTTTTTACTTTAAAAAATTTTTTTTTTTTTTTTTTTTTTTTTTTTTTAAGGGAGTTTCTCCGCTTCAGTTCTTCCCCCACGTTTTTGCTATGCACCGTAGGCAAGGCTGGAGTGCAATGCGGAGAAGGGGCCGGCAGGCTCGCCGCGCACGCGGCAGTTTGGGGATGCGCCGAGGAGGGTGCACAAGTGTGCGCTGCTGCTCGGGCTGTTTGTGCCGCGTGTGCTAATGCACTGTTTGATTGAGTGAATTAGCAGTCATAACAATCTGGCAGTCTGGCCATAGGAGTGCGCTCAAATTGATTTGTGTTATGGCTGGACTGGAAAATCTAGTGTTAGTTGTTTTTTGCCCTGGGGCATTGTTTGTACCAAACTCCACTTTCCATTTAATTCATTTTTTTCCAATAGATTTTTGAAAGACCGAAAGGTTTGTGATCAACGTTTGGTGCTCTTTATTATTATTCAGTTATTAAAAAATACCCTATAAGCAATTCCAGGTTCCCCCAAACCTTGCTTTCAATTAGAGTAAACATAATTAGCGTGACGTCGTGCTCGGAATGGCAAATCTGCCTTTGTATCTATTAAGCGTGTTATCTACTTGTCCTGTCGCTGAAAGGAATCCAGTTTGTATTTGTATTGGACAAGGTCTGTGCTAATTTGACTATAATGCAACAATTAGAAAAACAGCACCGCAGTAGCCAGTTTCTTATTCCTGGTACAGCACTTGCACATCCACCTCCACTGCATCCATCGCATTTTCAGCCTTCGCTAAATATCTTAGTGGGAAAAAAAAAAGGCAAAGGAAGAAAAAGAAAAAAAAGATGAGCCCAATTGCCCCAATTCACAGGCTTGCGTTTCCTTGGGGCTGTTTTCCTGGGCGATGCAGGGGGGATTCGGCATGAGGTCCCTCCCTCCCTCCCTGCTAACTCCGCTCAGCCTTCCCTCGAAATAACAGAGAGCTTCGAAGGAAGGAGAGCTGCGTGAGACCCTGGGGATATAAAACAAACCCGAACTCACCTACTCTCTGCCAGCACTTGCTCCTTTCTCGGGCTCCTCTGCTTAGCAGCCGTTTGCCAGATTCGTAACGCAGCATGATTAAACCTACAACATTACCCTATTGATCACACAGAGAGCTCGGCGAAATCATTTAGTTTCTTCTCGTCAGAAATCGGTGAGCAAAATAGGTCACCAGACAAGGCTAAGACAAGATGCACGAGAGAAATGTAATTCTCGGGGAAATAAACTGCAAGGAAACACAGGGAAAAATGCATTGGACATGAACTTAACATGGCAATAGGCTCTCCATCCTTGCAAGGTGCCTGTCTCCTGTGTGCTTCCCCTCCCCCGTCCATTCCCGCACACACGTTTGGAAGAGAAGTATTTTTTTTCTGTTTGTCTGAATGAATTTAAATATTTAATTATCAATAAAACCTGCAGCAGGGGGAGGGAGCTGATGTGACATCCTATCTCCTGTCAGTCAGGTATTCATATTCCTTCAAATGCAACAGCTACAACGCATTTTCTAATTGCATTTTACCCTTTACAGCTGCCCTCAGAATTGTAATTTAATAAAACAGTATCAGTCTCTTTTCTTGAGTAATAAATTATAATCACTGTCAATACATCTTACTGCTTTAACATACATTGCAATGTACCGAAATGGTCAAAGCCAAAAAAAAAAAAAAAAAAAAGAGAGAGGAAAAGGAGAGAGAAGAGAGACAGAAACAGAGAATACCTGCCCTGAACAGCTATACAGCCTTACAAGCAGAACACAAACCCTGCTTCAAACAATATTCCAGGAAAGAAATTAAAGACTTCTTAATTAGTGCAGCAATTAAGCTTTCTTGGTCGCATTTTAATCAGCCCAGGCCCTATCAAAGGACAAACAGAACGATTTGCAGGTCTTTGAATTTTAAACAGTCTTATTGATTTCAGCACCATAAGTCTTCACTTGACACAGGGAGAATTTTCAAATATCAGTTACAGTAATTTGAGTTTTGCTGATACCAACTCTGGGATAAAAAAAAGAAAGCACCTCAGAGTATCGTTACACAAAGGGGTGAGCAAGTGAGGGGGGCAACATGGGAAAAGTTTATAAAGCAGAATCGCAGGATTTGTTGGTGTGTTTATGCAAGTGTCTGTGTGTGTGCACAAGCTAAAATAAATTCAGTGGCTCACCATAATCGCTAGAAACACTCACCAAGCTAGAAGCTTCGAGGAGTCTTGAACCCTTTCATCATTTTTTTTCTTTCCTTCTTGGTTTCTAGCCCCATCATTACACTGGAAAGGTTAACCCAAACCTGTGGGAGCAACCCCTTGCACACTATCTTTGCTTTAGACTGTTTTGAATCGTGGTGATTACGTATCCATGAGGATAGGAGAAAAGCAGGAGGGCGGGTGACTACCACGTTGCGAGGAAGGCAGGGAACAGTTGAAGGCTTCCTAATTAAGAGGTCACCTGGTCCTCCAAGTGGCAATATCACGCGTGTCTGGCTCTGTCTTCATCTCCTCAAGGGCCTGATTTGTACTCTTGGGATATGTAAGATAAGGGGAGACACAAAAGGCCAGTTGGGGCCAAGCAGCAGTGACCAGAGATGTTTTTCTACACTGAAAAGGATGCTACATATTTACATTTTTCATCATATTCCAAGTTTTATGTCAGCACTATATCCTGCCACTGTAATTAAAGTTGTACGAGCTCCTCCAGGCAAATCTTCTGAGGCTTAAAAAGTGTTCTCTGCTCTTATGGGTACAGGAGATTTCAAAAACGAAGCATCACTCTCTGCTTTCCTGGTTTTATTTGCCCACTCTGAAGATTTCAGGGTGGGGAATCTAAACCTTCCCTAGCAAAAAGCCATCCTTCTGGCACTAAGGCAAATCTTTCTGGTATTAAAACACCGAGCTAAGAAAACAAGTTAAAGTACAATGAGCAAGTAGAGCTTACGAGAATGCTTTCTATCTGATAAAGTGGAAATTTCCCCTACAGAGAATTACAATAGTTGAAATTATCCTCTCTGCAGATGTGTCATGCCATGAGTCATATCTCACAGAATAGTACACATGAAAAAAAAAAAGAAAGAAAGAAAGAAAAAAGAAGCTAAAGGCACATACATGCATCACAATTAATTAAGCACATAAATTATGTTTCACTTTAAAACCGAAAGAGCTGTGGACACACTACCCACATACTCTGTGAATGACCGCTCCTTTGGCCCTGTAAAAACTGAAGTGCCCTGAGGAGGAAAAAAGAGAAAAAAAAAAAAAGAGAGAGAGAGAGAGAGAAAGGGGAGAGCACGAGGCTCTCTGCTTTCCCTTCCCGAGTGACCCCTCGCATCCCGCGGGACGATCAAACACGCCCCGAGCCGAGGGAAAACTCCGCCCCAAACTTTGGGAACGAGCAGGTAGCGCGAGGGGCGCTGCGCATGCGCGGGCCAGCGCGGCCGCGCAGGTTGCGCGATACCTGGCGGCGTTTGCGCGCTCACCTGTTGCTCGGGGCCGCCCTGCGCGGGATTTTCATTTCTATTTTTACTTTTTGTTTTGTTCTGTTTTTTTTTTCTTTGAAAGTTTACTCCAAAGCGAAGTCTCTGTGCGCGGGTGCGGGCCGCGTGTGTGAAGCTGCGCCCTTTGATGCGACCGCTTGCAGGAAGCGCCCGCGCTGCGCGCAAGCTCCACGCCCCGCGCAGCCACCGCCGCCCCTTTGCGCCGCTCTGCTCCGCTCGGCCGCGGGCGCTGCGCGGCGCTGCGCGCTCCCCCCCGCGCCGCCACCGGGAGCGTTTGCTGCCTCGCGAGTAAAAATAACAACAATAATTAGAAAATAAAGAGCGCAAGGAGGTTTGTGCGCGGGTTTTGTCCGCGTCCCCACCCGTCAGCGCCCTCTGCCCCCGTCCCAGCCGGGAGAGCCGCGCTCCCCGCGGGCTTCGGGAGCCGCTCGAAACGCTCGCGTTTCCCCGCAAACTGTGTTGACAAGCGATTGCTGAGAAAGGGCTGGGAAAATTACATCTCGTCTCTGGTGGGGTGAAATCTGAAACATGTAATCTAACGGTTCCCGAGGAGGAGGAGGAGGGGGGGAGGAAGAGGCACTGCTCGCTCCCTCGCTCGCCGTCTCCCTGCTCCGGGTTCCTGGTTGGATAATTCGGGTTAATACCAGCGAGCGAGCCTTTTGCTGCTTCAAAGGGTATTTCAAGTTGCCGGAGCTCCTCCCCTCCGCACCGTGTGACAACAACAACTCGTCCAGAGAGCGAGCGGCGGCGGCGGCGGCAGCCAGCACTTCCCAGCTCATTTTCTCTCTGTCATTCCCCTCCTCAATCTTTGATCAATGTACTTGCCAGAGAGAACCGAAGTCCTTCAAACCTCCTCCTTTTCACCTTCGTCTCTAACGTGGTGCTAGAGCAAGGACCGCAAAAAGCAACTGCCCTCCTCTCCCCCCCCTTCC